TCAGCTCAGCACCCCCAGATCAGCATCCCCTTCCCTTGCAGGGTGACCATCCCACTGTATGATGCCGACACGGGGCTGCTGGTGTTGGCAGGGAAGGTGAGGTCCCACAGCAGCAGGGTGCAGGGGGGTACAGGAGGATGCAGGGGAGTGTAGTGAGGTGCATGTGGGTGCAGTGGGGTGTAGAAGCATGCAGGGGTTGCAGGGGGGTGCAGGAGGCTGCAGAGGGGTGCAGGAGATGCAGCAAGGTGCATGTGGGTGCAGCAGTTACAGGAGGGCACAGAAGGGTGCAGGGGAGCATATCGAGGTGCATGCGGGTGTAGGAAGGTGCAGTGGGGTGCAGGGATTGCAGGAAGGTGCATGTGGGTGCAGGGGGGTACAAGAAGCTGCATGTGGGTGCAGTGGGGTGCTTCCTGCAGCCTCACTCATTCCCTGTCCACTCCACCTCTCTTCCAGGGAGAAAACCTCCTGTACTGCTTTGAGGTGACCCCCACGCAGCCAGCGCTCACCCAGGGTAAGCAGGTCCCACCCCACACAGGGGTCGCAGCAGCCCTGGGGGGCTCACCCCTGCCTGCACTGCCCACCTCATGTCCATCCCCCTCCCCACAGTGACCCAGTGCCGGACAGAGGGCAGCACGCGGGGCCTGGCGGCCGTGCCACGCCGGGCTCTGGACGTCATGGCCTGCGAGGTGCTCCGTGTCCTGCAGCTCACCGACACCGCCCTCGTCCCTGTCAGCTACGTGGTGCCACGCAAGGTAAGGGGGGCTGCTGGTGGCACTGCATCGTGGATGCCTGGTTTTGTCTCATGGGTGACACCTCACCAGCACCAGGTGACAAAAGGCACCCGGGTGCAGTGGGACCCCAATCCCCAGCCTGGGGAGAGCAGAAGAGGAGGTCAAACCCGGGAGCTGACAGTGGGTCACGGAGTGTGAGTTTGCTGCGTGCTGGATTTGGGAAGCTGGATGCTGCATGCAGAATTGGGGTGCTGGAGAGTGGATGCTGATAGCTGGGTGCCACCTGCTGGGTGCTGTTGTGCAATAGGTACTGGGTGCTTAAAGTGGATGAAATTTGGGTGCTGGGTCGTGGAGTCTGGGTGCTAAAGGTGTCTGGGGGTGTCCAGGACTGCCCCAGCTGCAGCAGGGCGGAGGCTGTGGGACTTCAGGAACACCCACCTTGCCCCATCCCTTCTCCCACAGTCTGTCCAAGACTTCCATGAGGATCTGTTCCCTGACTGCACTGGAACCCTGCCGGCCACCAATGCCCAAGCCTGGTGGGCAGGCGACAACCAGCAGGTCAGTGTCACCCAGGGGTGTGTCCTTGCTGGTGGCATTGCCACTGCCCCATGCCCACCACTGTGCCTGGTGCAGGTGGCGAGGGTGAGCCTGCACCCTGCACGGAGATCCACGGAGACCTTCACCTCCCCTGTCATCGCCTTCACCCACCACACCAACGCTGGCCACACCGACACCGACATCAGCCACACCGATGCCGACCGGAGCGTGAGCATGGGGTGCTGGGAATGTGCTTTGGATGCTGAGGGGGTGGGGGTCCCTGCCACCTTTACACAGCAGGGAAAGGCCGGGCTACCAGCACCCCCTGCCCACCTGCTATCTCTCCTGTAGGAGGCCAGTGGCTACTCCTCACCATCCTCGCTGGCCTCGCCGGGCAGTGCAGCCACCTCGCTCTCAGCCAGCACCGGCCCCTCCAGCGGCTTTGCCAGCAGCCCCAGCCAGAAGTCCCTGCAGAGCATTTTGGGTGAGCAGGCAGCAGGGTGAGCTCAGGGTCCCTCACTGAGGATTCAGGGCACTCACCTGTCCCTCACCCGCTGCAGGGCCCAGCTCCCGCTTCCGGCACGCGCAGGGCCGGGTGCTGCACCGCGACTCCCACCTCACCAACCTGCGGGGGCTCAGCCTCACCACGCCGGGCGAGTGCGACGGCTTCTGTGCCAACCACCAGCGCGTCGCCCTGCCCCTGCTCACTGCCGGCGGCCAGATCGCCGTGCTCGAGGTACCCCGGAGCGGCTGGAGGCCAGCACGGCACCGTGAGTGCCATGCCAGTGACCCCTGTGTCTTTCCCGCAGCTTTCCAAGCCCGGCCGCCTCCCCGACACAGCCGTGCCCACCATCCAGAATAGTGTGGCAGTGGCCGACCTCTCCTGGGACCCCTTCGACCCGCGGCGCCTCGCTGTGGGTACGTGTGCCAGCCCCGCCGGAGTGTGCCAGGATAGTCCCCTGGCTCCGGGCATGCTGGTCACCACATTAACCACTGCCCATCCTTGTTGGTCCCCAGCCGGTGAAGACGCCAAGATCCGGCTGTGGCGGATCCCTGAGGGAGGGCTGCAGGAGACACTGCAGGAGCCTGAAGCCATTCTCCAAGGTGAGGGGACACACCGAGCACCCTACACTGGAGACAAGCCAGCCCAGTGGTGTCCACAGCTGGGGACAACCATGCACCGCTCGATCTTCCCAGGTCACACGGAGAAGATTTACTCCATCCGCTTCCACCCCGTGGCATCCGATCTCCTGGTTTCCTCCTCCTACGACATGACCGTGCGGATCTGGGATCTGAGCGCCGAGCAGGAAGTCTTGTGCCTGCAGGGACACACAGATCAGGTAAGGAATGACAAACCTGGGGACACCTGAGGGGTGACTTTGGGACATTGAGGGGACATCTGTCTACCTAGATCTTCAGCATGGCTTGGAGCCCAGATGGGAAGAAGCTGGCGACAGTGAGCAAAGACGGACGGATACGGCTCTACGAGCCACGGTGCAGCCCTCGGCCTCAACAGGTACAATCACGGCACTGAGGGTGGGCTGGAGAGCTGGGGCTGCAGGCAGGAACGCCCCTGAGGGCACCTGCCTGCACCCCCAGCTCTCTCTGAGCAGGTAGAATGACCTTCTCCCCACACAGGAGGGTCCAGGTCCCGAGGGGGGACGTGGAGCACGCCTGGTTTGGGTTTGTGGTGGCGACTACCTCCTGGTGTCCGGCTTTGATAGGTAAAGAGGGGGACACATGCCAGGGCAGGGACACCAAGGGACACCGTGCTCCCCCTCATTGACACCTCCCCACAGCCGCAGTGAGAGGAGGATCCTCCTGTACCGGGCACAGGCTCTGCCTGAGGGACCCTTGTCCGTCCTCGGGCTCGATGTGGCCCCTTCCACCCTCCTGCCCTTCTACGATGAGGATACCAGTGTTGTCTTCCTCACTGGCAAGGTGAGGCCTTGCCCTCCAAAAAACTGGGGGGCTACCTGTCTACAGCACCCCAAAAGTGCAGAGGGGCCCTCCATGCACCTTGACAGCCCCTATCTCACTCCATCCCCAGGGCGACACCAGAGTCTTTCTCTATGAGGTGACTCCTGAGCCCCCCTATTTCCTTGAGTGCAACAGCTTCACCTCCAACGAACCCCACAAGGTAAAGAGGGGCAGTGCTGCCTGTCCCTGACCCCTTGCCTGCGCTGCCAGACTCTGCTCACGCCCCCACCCCACCAGGGCTTCATCTTCCTGCCCAAAACGACATGTGAGGTGCGGGAGGTGGAGTTTGCCCGTGCGCTGCGCCTGGGGCAGAGCACCCTGGAACCCGTGGCTTTCCATGTGCCACGTGTCAAGGTAGGTGGGGGGTAAGGGGGAGTCTGGCTGTCTTCTGGGATGGGGACAGAGGCAGAGGACCCCCCTCAACGTCACTTGCCCCCACAGAAGGAGTATTTCCAGGACGACCTCTTCCCGCCGACCCGCGTCTGGTGGGAGCCAGCCCTGGGTGCCGGTGCGTGGCTGGCGGGGCAGGACGGGCAGCAGCACCACACCAGCCTGTGCCCGGCCGGCATGGTGCCAGGTGGGTGAGGGGCAGGGCAGGACCCCCAGCCCACGGGGATGGTGTGGGGGGGTGTCAGCCACGGGGCGAAGCCCTCCCGCCCCACGGTTCTGCTGCTCTCCCAGTGAGCGAGGCCCCGAAAGAGGCTCCGGCTCGGAAGTTCGTCCCTGCATCTGTGTACCTGGAGGAGAAGTCAGACGAGCAGAAGAAGGAGGAGGTGGGTGCTGGGGAGGGGCGACCACCCTGCAGTGGGGCTGGGGGCGATGTCCCGTGCCCCATGGCTCTGCCCGGCCTCCCCACAGCTCCTGAGTGCCATGGTGGCCCGGCTGGGCAACCGAGATGACCCGCTGCCCCAGGACTCCTTCGAGGGGGTGGATGAGGACGAGTGGGTAAGTGCAGGGACTTGGGAGGGGAGACACGACCCCCGTCGGGTCCCGTCAGACCCAGCCATGCCCCTCACCCACACCGAGTGTCCCGCAGGACTAGGCTGGACCCGGCACCCCAAGGACCACCCGGCAAACCCCGCACCCGCAGGGCCGGCGGGGGAACCGAGAGGAGAGAAGAAGGAGGAGGAGGAGCAGGATGTGCAGGGCCTGCCGCGGGCAGGACCCGCTATTAAAGCCGCTGCACCAGCACCGCGTCCTGCCGTGATCCCGGGACACCGCGGGGAGCACCGGGGGGAGACACCGGGGCGGAGGGGGACACGGGGACCGGGGGGGCCGGAGGGGCACCGGGACCGGCACAAGGGAGGACACGGGGACTGGGGGGACACAGGGACCGGCCCTGGAGGGGACACAGGGAGTGGAGCCGGGGAGGACACAGGGACGGGGTGGGGGACAGGGACTGACAGCGGGGGGACATCGTGGCCGGGAGGACACAAGGACTGGGGGTTGGGGGACAGAGGAACTGGCCCCGGGGGGACACTGGGAGTGCAGGGGACACAGGGACAGGCACCGGTAGGACACGGGTACGGGGGGGACACGGAGACCGGCGCCGGGGGGCACAGGGACCGAGGGGACACAGGGTGCGGCACCGGGAGGACCAGAAGGACCTGAACCGGGGAGACACAAGGAGCGGGGGTTCACAGGGACCGGCATCGGGAGGGACACGGGGACCGGGGCGGAGGAAAGTCGCGCCCCACCCGCCTGCCACTGCCCGGACCTCCCGCGGGGCGCGGCCGCCAGGGGGCGCTGAGCCCGCCGAGGGGACGCTCCGCCCCGCGCCGCCGCCGTCTCGGTGCCCGCCGTGACCTTCGCCCCCGGCCACGTGACCGCCGGGGGCGGAAGAGGCGGTGGGGACATGGTGAGAGGGGACGGGGCGGGGGGACGGCGGGGTTGGGGCTGGGCAGGGACCGGGGACGGGCACCGGGCCCGCGGGTGTGCGAGGGAGCTGGGTCTGGGGGGGCAGGGACAGCAGAGAGCGGACAGGACCATGGGAGGGGGGACAGGGACAGGGGGAGAGGGACAGGACACGGGAGGAGTGACAGGGCCTGGGGAGGGGGAGCAGGGACAGGAGAGGGGGGACAGGACACGGGAGGAGTGACAGGGCCTGGGGAGGGGGAGACGGGGCGGACAGGGCAGAGGAAGGGGGAACACGGGAAGGGGGACAGGGCCAATGGAGAGGTGACAGGGCCTAGGGAGGGGGTCACAGGGCCAGGGAAGGGGGGAGAGGGACGGGGAAGGGGGGATAGGGCCAGGGATGGGTAGGGCAAAGCCCCAGGAGACAGGGAGAGGTGACAGGGTGAAGGACCTGTGTGGGGATGGGGCCCCGTGGTGGCTGTGACAGCAGGGTGTCCCCGCAGGCCAAGTACCTGGCACAGATCATCCTGGTGGGGGCCCAGGTGGTGGGACGGGCCTTCATGCGGGCGCTGCGCCAGGAGTTCGCAGGTAGGAGCTGCTATAACTGCTCCAAGTGCTCTGTGTGCCCACACTGCCCTGCCCCAGCTCTGCTCTGCACCCCCACCCTTCCCCAGGAACCCCAGTGCTCCCCGTGCCCACGCTGTGCCCACAGGGGCCATCTGCCAGGCTGTCACAAGGTGACAGTCCTCACCTGCCTCCCAGGCCTGGCCTGATGGTGTTCATCTCAACCCAGGCTCCCAGCAGCCTTTCCAGGCTCCAGCCTGGCTCTGGCACCGCTGCCAGGCTCCCAGAGATCCCAGCACCCCAAAGGGCACAACAGGATAATCCCTGGGACAGGAGAGCCCCAACCCTGCCCTGCCTTCAGCAAATGGTGCCCCCCCCAGCCCCTGACACATCCCCGGCACTGGGATCACATCCAGGGGTGACTGGAGGGGGGCAGAGGGGGACACTGGGCTCTGAGCACTTCAGAGCCCAAGAGCTTTGCTGCCTGACCCCCCCCAAGGCCTGGGGGTCGCGGGGATCAGTGGGGGGGTCTCATGGCCTGGGTGTCTCCGGCAGCGAGCCGGGCAGCAGCCGATGCACGAGGACGCTCCGAGAGGCCCCAGTCTGCTGCCGCCTCCAGGATCATCGGCATCAGCCTCCAGGAAGCTCAGCAGATCCTCAACGTCTCCAACCTCAACCCTGAGGAGATTCAGAAGGTAGAGGGCCCCTCAGAGTTGGGGAGGGAGGGACGGAGGGCCCTGTCTGCCCTGAGGGTGCTGCCTGGCATGGGTGTGACAGCTGTTCCCCAGCGCTGTCCTGGGCCCAGTTAATCCCGGCTGGAGGATTCCTTGCCCCAGCTGGAGCAGCCCTCGGGGCTTGGCCTCTGCATCTGCCCAGTGGGGCTGCTCAGGAAAGGGGACATGGGATCCCTGGAGGTGCCCGACCGGGAATGTGGGAACTCACAGTGGAGTCAGGCAGAGCAAACATGTCCCCAAGATCATACCTGTCACCTCCAGCAATGCTGCAGGGAGCGGGAGGCCCCCAGGGTTTGGGAATGGGGAAGGTGGAGATGAATCTGAGCCGGAGCTTCTCTCGGCAGAACTACGACCACTTGTTCAAGGTGAACGACAAGTCTGTGGGAGGCTCCTTCTACCTGCAGTCCAAGGTGAGCGAGGGAGCAGCGGGGGCTGCACCTGTGTGGGCACCTTCCCCTGCCTGGGATTCGGCAGAGCCCGAGCACCCCTGTGGGTGAGGCAGTGAGGGGAGGTGTCACCCCATCCCTGTGTGTCACCCCATGTCCACAGGTGGTGAGAGCCAAGGAGCGGCTGGACGAGGAGCTCCGCATCCAGGCCAAGGGCGACAAGGAGAAGGAGCGGAAAGCTGAGACGTGACTCCCGCCACCCCTGGACCCCGTGTCCCTCTCACCCTTAACTTATAGGTGGCCAATAAACACCGTGTCCTCCAGCACCTGGCCTGGCTGCTCCGTTCCCCGGGGAGGGAGCAGGGACTTGCCCACTGCTGCCCCCGAGGGATCAGCCCCTGCCCTGGGGACAAGGAGGAGGGAGGCAGCTGGGGAAGAAGGGGTGTCCTCGGGGCATCAAGGGCTGCCAGGGCTCAAATGGCACTGGGGGAGGCTGTGGGAGCTATTTTTGGGCGGGGTTGGATGCTCTTGGACTGAGTGCATGGATACCTCTGGCTCCATACCCCAGGGGTGCTGTGCCATTACCCTTCTCCCACCGTGGATGACTGCTGGGTTGAGGGGGGGACACACGCTGTGGCTGTCCCCACCTGCAGCTCATCCTGCTGCACGGCTTCACTGGTGCCAAGGCTCCCTGAGCAGGAGTGTGGGGACACAGCCAGGGGTCAGTCAGAGCCAGCTGTTCCCCCCCCAGGTCACACCCACCCTCTCCAGCACTCCTCTGCCCCCAGCATGGGCTCCTCACTGCTGTCACCACAGCCGCGGCATTGAAACAGGAACTTACTTCAACTTTATTGTTTTCTTAATAAACTTCCTCTCCCCTGGACGAATATAGTGTTACAGTCGTTAGCTTATCTCGTACTTGTGCAGTCCTTACACGCTACGCTAACAGCGATGGAGCCCAACAGGAGGAAAATAAAAACAACCCAGAAACTACGATAGAAAGGCACTTCGAGACCGTTAAAATACTGATGTCCTGGAATGTGCAACAACAAACCGACGAGGAGCGAGGAGACGTTACACCGGCCGGGGTGGCCTGGTCGATGGCCCGCGGCCATGCTGGGCTGGGGCAGCACCGGGCAGCCACCGGTGAGAGCAGGGAGACCGGCTCCCTGCGGGGCACGCGTGGCCAGGGCTCCTCAGCATGGAGGGGCAGCACTGGGGAGACCCCCACGGTTCGGAACGGGACGTGAGTGGGGGTCCTGCCCGGCAGTGGGACGTACATATGACCCCCGGGAAAGGCTTTGAGCTGTGCCCACACTGAGGCTGGGCACGCTGCCCGCCCCACCACTGCCCCGTGGCTGGGGGCTCACCTGGGAGCATCCCACCGGTGCATCCCGAGGAGCGGGTGCCCCGCCAGCCGGTGCCGGCGGTGCCCAGAGCCGTGCCCGCGCCGCCCGCATGCGCTCACGGTGCGTGGTTAGGTATGAACGTAGCTAGAGGGGTCTGTGCCCGGCGCGGAGCCGGCGCGGCGAGCGGCACACGCGGCCGTGTGCCTTGTCACGGGAGGGCCGGGGAGGCGGTGGGAGGGTGCGGGCGGGTGCCAGGCCGGCGTGTGCCCAGCCAGCTGGGCCCAGCACAAGGGGCCATGGCCGCGGCACTGCCCGTGGCCATGCCGGCCGTGTGGGGTGGGATGGCACGGCCGGGCACAGCTCAGGGCAACAGGAGCGGGTGGTCCCCGAGCTGTCACCCCGCTGTCTGTGCAGCGGGAGCCCGGGGGGCTGCAGCCCCCCACGGCAGCGCCAAGGCTTCGGGCAGGGAGACGCCGTGTCAGCAGAAGCAGGAGAGCCCAAGCAGGGCCTCGTCAGAGCAAGGGGCTGGTCAAGAAATAAATAGCGGCGAATCCGGCTGTCCAGGCCCGAGAGGGCAGGGGGATCCCCCTGTGCCCCCAGCTGCCCCCAGCGCAGGGTTGCAGCCGGCTCTGGCCGCCAAGGGATTATTGCTTTTCTCAGAAGAGTCCGTTCTTCTTTCGTGACAGTTAAAAGCACGAGCGAGGCCCCGCCGGGGCTGCAGGGGGGAGGAGGGGGCGATGCCCCTCCGTCCCCAGGGAGCGGGATCTGCCCACGGGGCCGGCGGCTGGCCCTGGGCATCGTCGAGCCCCTCAGTTGACTGCGGCGGGTTTGAGCAGCAGGGAGCCGGGGGGGATGAGCACCCAGCCAGGGGGCAGCGCCTCGGGGCTGCCCCCTGAGCTGACACCGGCTGAGAGGTCGAGCACAGCCCCCGGCAGCAGTGCCAGGCTCTCAGGGAGCACCCGCGGCCGCCCCGGCTCCGTCCTTTCTCCCCTCTCCTTCCGGGTGTCCGGCCCCTTGCCTGCCTTGGGAGGCCGCCCCTCAGCCCCGCTGCCCTTCTCCCCCTCGGCCTTGGCCCCGCCGGCCAGCAGCGACATGACAGGGAGGCCCAGCCCCGCCGCGAAGGGCGAGGGCAGCAGCGGGCTCTTGGCCAAGTTCAGGGGGCCGCCATTGAGGGGCAGGACGGGGCCGGGCAGGGCGGGCAGGGTACCCGCAGCCCCGCAGCCCAGGGCGCTGAGGTCGAGAGGTGCCGGTGCCAAAGGGATGGGCAGCGCCGGCAGCCCCGGGGGAGCGAAGAGGGCGGCGGGGTTGGGGATGACGAGCTGTGCCCCGTTAACATAGGGCACCTCTGGCGAGCCCAGGGGCGTTTTGGGAGGTGGATGGACCTTGAGCATCTCTGGGTGCTCGGGGGAGACAAAATGCCCATGGGCTTTGATGTGCTTGCGGAGGGAGCTGGGGTCAGTGTAGCGCTTGTGGCAGCCCGGCATCTTGCAGGAGTAGGGTTTCTCCACGTAGTGGGTGCGGGTGTGCTTGAAGCGGTCGCTGGAGTTGGAGTAACGCTTGTTGCAGCCTTCGTAGGGGCAGATGTAGGGCTTCTCACCTGCGGGACAGCACCGGGTCTGCCGGGGGGCACCAGCCCTGCCGGGTCCCCTGTGTCCCCCCGGGCCCCGCTGCTCCCCGGTGAGCGCTGTGTGGGGGCTGCACTGACCTGTGTGCGAGCGGTTGTGGATTTTCAGGTTCTCCAGGCGGGAGAAGCTCTTGTTGCAGGTGGGGCAGCGGTGTGGCTTCTCATTGGTGTGCGTCCGGATGTGGATCAGCATCTTGTACCTGCCGGGATCAGGGGAATCACAAAATCATGGAATCGTTTGATTTGAAAGGGAGCTTAAAGCTCATCTCATCCCAACACACCTGCTGTGGTCAGGGACACTTTCCACTAGCCCAGGTTGCTCCAAGCACCAACACTTCTAGGGATGGGGTAGCCACAGCTTCTCTGGGCAACCTGTGCCAGGGCCTCACCACCCCCACAGGGAAGGATTTCTTCAAGATCTAATCTAAATATCTCCTCTTTTAGTTTAAAACCATTTCCCCTATCACTGTCTGCCTGTGGAAGTATCAGTAAGGGAATGTCAGGGAGGGGGTCAGCCCTGACTTCCAGGGCATGTCCTTGTCCCCGTACCCTGGCTATGGGGTGTGGGAACAGGGACATCCAGGCCAGCACAGTCATCCAGCCTGCCAGGACCTCACACCCTGCACCAGAGGAAGGGAGGGAGGGAGGAAGGGAGGGATGAAGGGAGGGAGAGAGGGATGAGTGGGGGGAGGGATGGACACTCCCCCTGCACAGGCCCAGTGCTGGGCTTCTGCCTCCCACAGAACCCCTCCAGGGACCCAGAGACCCCCCAGAGCCACCCATGCCCACCTGGCGTTGAAGCCCCTGCCATGGCGGGCACAGCCCTCCCAGTGGCAGCAGTACCCTGCATCCTTCTCGGGTTTGACATGGAAGTCATTGACATGGTCCACAAGGTCTTGCAGGAGGTCAAAGAACTGGTTACACTGTGGGCAGAAGACTGGGGGTGAGGAGGCCTGGTGGGGTGGGCACAGGGGGTGGCCAGGACCCCCAGCAGGGCCAGCCCCTGCTCCCCATCCCACCCCAGCTCCCACCTGGACCACATGCACAGCAGGACCAGCATCTGGGGAGATGGAAATGGCCCTTTGCATGACCACTCCAGCCCTGTATCACCTTGTACAGCCCCCAGCTCCCCATGACTCCCCCTCCAGTCCTACATTGTTCCTGCATGGCCCTCCAGCCCCCAACCTCACCCCCAGTCCCACAGAGCTCTACCATGGCCTTCTAGCCCCACCTCAAAGCTTCCACACACCCCACCAGCCCCACAACCCTCCATGGTCCCTTCCTGCTGACCTTGGACCAGCGGCAGATGAGCTGCTTGGGCAGGGGCAGCTCAGGGGCGAGGCGTTTCTCCTTGCTGGGGGGTAGGAAGGCAGTGGGGGGCAGATGCAGGGCCCCCCCAGCCCCCAGTGGCAGGAAGAACTGGAAGGAGCTGGGGAGGCCGTCGATGTAGCGCAGGGACTGGAAATCCTGGAGCAGAGCCCGGATGAGGAGCCGGTAGGGGACGGGGCCAAGCTGGATAGAGACTCCAGGAGACCCCAGAACCCTACAGAGAGATCCCCAGAGATCCCCCCAGCCCCCCCGAGACCCCAAAGCCTCCCAGAGATGCCGAAAGATCCCCCATAGCCCCCCCAGGGATCCCCTCATACTCCCCAGAACCCCCCCTAAGCCTCCCGCTCCCCCACCCCAGGGATCCCAAAACCTCACAGATACCCCCTAAGAGAGCTTCCAGGAGGCACCCTGGGGATGCCACTCGAGTCAGGGGGCAGGGGGGGAGGGCAGGCAGGACATTGACCCCAGGGTGTGTGTACACCGGCAGCACTGGGCACGCTGCCGAGGCTGGGAACGCCGTCTGGGCACAGTCCCCATGGCTGGGGACACCTCACGGGGGGTCACGGCCGTACTTACGTGGGGGGTGAGGGGGCCGGGCAGGTCCCCGCTGCCCTGGCGCTCAGGGGACAGCGAAGCGCTGCCAGCCGGAGACTCCCCCCCGGAGCGGGGCGAGAGGCTGAGGTCCACCACCGGCACGGCAGCCGGGAAGCGCCCATCCCGCGGCTCCACCAGCCTGGAGTGTGCCAGGAGCCCGGGGGACGGCGAGGCCGGCACAGCACGGCGACCCCCTCGGCTGCCCCCCCGGCCATCCCCGACCGGCGGGGTGTCCGGGCGCTGGGGAGCGCGGGGTCGGGGCCCGGAGGGACCGCGCTTCTCCCGGGCAGCTCGCAGCTTGGAGATGCTCAGCTTGAGGTCCAGGGGCTCCTCCAGGGAATGCATGGTGCCGGGGTGGACTCTGCGGGGGACAGCCGGGGGTCACCGCAGGGGTGGGGGGCACCAGTGCCACCCGGAGCATCGCCCCAGCCCGGCCCCATAGCGATGCCCAGCTCTGCTCCGGTCCGGAGGCCACGGTGCTGGCACAGGGACTGTGCCGTCCCTTCCAGCCACCCTGCAGCGGCCCCCTCCCGCAGCGGGCAAAGGGCAGGGCAGGGCACTAGGCCCCCCCCCCCGGCCCCTCGGTGTCCCCAGCATGTCCTCTTCGTGTCGCCGGCACAGCCCCTTGGCCCGTGACCAAACCCTGCCGGGGATTGCCAAATCCCCCGAGCACCCGCGGCGCGGGAGCCGCGGTGTCCCCATTCCGCCCCCCCCGGCCCGTCCGTCCATCCATCCATCCGTCCGTCCCCGCGAGCCTGCCCCAGCGAGGCCTTTCCCAGAGGCAGAGGAGGGCGGTGGCGGCCACCACTCCGGCGGTGACCCGGGCAGCCGAGCCCGCTGGCCCCAGCCCCGGAGGCGGCAGAGCTTCCTCCCCCGTCGGGGCCCCTTCCCCGCTGGCCAACGCCGCTGCTGCCGGGGCCGGGCAGGGGCTGCCGGCCGCACGGCGTGGCACGGAACGGCATGGAATGGCACAACACAATGCCACCCTCGTGGCTCGGCCGCCACACATCTGGCAGGCAGCTGAGAACCGGGCAGCTCGGTGCAGCAGTGAGCGCCCGAACCAGAGCCCCTGCGGTCCCCCGGCTGTGCCCCCGCGGCCACCCGCATCGCCCAGGGCAGGGTGGGGGCGGCCGAGGGGCCGTGTCGGGGGGCACGGCGCACCCAGCACACGTGGCAGCGGGGGGCCCCCCCTCCATCCCCACCCCGCCCCGGGGGGCCCGTCCCCCGCCCTGCCCCGCCGGAGGGGCCCCCCGCGCTGGCGGGGGTCCAGCCCGGCTCAGACGCTGAGGAATGCGGAGGAGCCGCGGGGGGCATGGGGCCCGGGCGGCGGGGCGGGGGACCCCTTGCCTGCACCCCGTGCTGGCTGAGAGGCCGGCCCCAGGGGGGGTTCCTGTCCCAGGCTCCCACGGAGGGAGGAGCTGCCCCACAGCATCGCATCACTCTGAGCCCCCACCCCCCGGCCCCATAGCGGGGTCCCTCCTCTCCAGTGGGGGGTCCCTGCCTAAGCATCCGCCTCCTCCCACCGCTGTGGGGGCTGACCCGTCCCCTGGGGCAGGGACACCCTCCTGAGCCCCTCCGACCGCGGGGCCCGCCCCATAGTGGGGTCTCTGCACTCTGGGGGGTCTTCAGCCTGAGCCCCACTGCAGGACCTGCCCATGGGGTGTCCCCACCCTGAGCCCCCCCACGGTTTTCAGGCTACAGCGGCTTCCCATGTGCCCCACATCCTGGTGGCACAGCTCGAGGACAGACGGACAGATGGCGGGGGGGCTGCACCACAGCTGGGGTGTCACAGTGGAACCCCCAGCCGAGGGAGTGGGACAGGGCGCTGGCAGCCCTCCAGCGATGGGGGTCCCACAGTGGGGCCAGGCAAGACATCAGGGCTGGTCCCACCGTGGCGGCCGCGTCCCCACGTCCTCCGGGCTGGGAGTTTGGGGGGTCCCGGCGCGGGCGGTGCTGGGTGGGGACGGCAGCCATCCCCGGGCGGGACGGGTGGGAAAGGGGCCTCCAGCCGCTGACGCCAGGGCTCCCAGCGCGGCCGCGGGCGGGCGGGCAGGCAGCTGCCAAACCACGCGGCCTCGGGAAACGGGGCGCCGCGGGGGCCTCGCCGGGATGGGGACGGGGACGAGCCCTAGGGTGGCTTGGCCGGACGCCCCGGCACCTGCGGCCCCCGCGCGCGGCCCCTGGCCGCTCCTGCCTGCTCTCCCCCCACGGCCTCTCCTGCCCGCGCCAGGCGCTGCCAGCCCAGCCCCAGCCCAGCTTCCCCCCCGCCACACCAGTTCAAACCAGTCCCAGGCGCTGGGCCCAGGGGCTTCCCAGTTCGGGTGGGGGCCGTTGGGATGGAGCCCAGGCGTGGGGGGAGTCCCCCCATCTCTGCTGGCCGGGCTGGGGTCCCCTGGGCCCCCGACACTGCCTGGCCGCCGGCACGGCTGGGGGACCCGGGGTGACCCCGGTGCAGCCGGCGGGGTGCCAGGTCTCCGTGCTGCTGGCATTGCCGGGGTGTCGTGTGTCCCCCCCAGCCCCAAACCCGCCAGGAATAGCACAGAAGGGCCGCGGGGCAGAGGCTCCCGCAGCGCAGTGGGCTCGGGGATGGCGGCGGCGAGGGATGCCAGTGCCGCGGCCAGGGGACGGTGACCCTGGGGCTCGGGGAGTGGGAACGGCGCCAGCGCTGCAGGCAAGGCTCGGTCCCCGCCGCCGTGGCACTTGGCAGCGGCAGACTGGCACCGCCGCGACGGGAGGCAGCTCCCGAAGCCCCCTGTGCCGGGGCAGCGTGGGTGGGTTGGCAGGATGTGGGTCATTGTCCCCACGGCTGCCACCGTGGGACTCGCCATCCCTCCTTGTCCCACTGCGGATGGTGCTGGCACTGCCACTCCTCACTGGAGCCCGCCGGTGCCCGCCGGGGCCGGGGGAGGTCACATCCTGCTGGTGGCTCCAGCTTGTCACTGTGGGTCCCCAGCACCCGTCCCCCCCTGCCACCTGGGCTGATGGCAGCCCCCAGAGCTTTCCCCAGGAGCGGCCACGGTTGGAGTTGCAGTCCCCAAACCGAGGCCAGTGCCATGGTCCCCCCTTCCCAGGCATGTGGAGGTCGTGGGGATCCGGGCAAGGGACTGACACCACCCACCCTCCGGGGAGCAGCCCCACAGCAGTGCCACCAGCAGCAAGGACCCTGCTACCTCTGCCTGGGGACACGGCTGGAGCATGCGGGGACAGGAGCAGGGTGGTCCCCAGTGCCCAGCAAATCAGCACCCTGGGTGCGGCAGCAGCGTGGGGATGGGGGGACCTGGCTGGGGGGGTGAGGGTGGTAACAGCAGGGTGACAAAGGCATGGAGAAGAGGAGGTGGCCACTAGCAGCAGGGTTTCTCCATGCTGGGCAGGGAACGAGTCCCTGCAGCAGTGCCCAGGGACACTGGGGACAATTTCTGGTCCCTGCTGCTGGCACCTCAGGGAGGGGGTCACCCCAACCTGGTTCTCAAAACCCCCCTCAATGGCACAGCCTGGGCTTGGCCACCCCACAACTCAGCCCCACGAGGCCGTCACCCCCCGTGATGGGGACTGTCACCTTCCATGACTGGGACCAGGTGTACCCCGCGAAGAGGACGGGGGTGACGGGTGGCACCGTCAGGGTGGGACCGCGATGGGGCCGCCCTGTGCCCCCCACCCGATACCAACCCTTCGCCCTCCTCGCACCGTGGGGACACTGTTGTGTCCCCGGGAGTGGTCGCAGCCGGGTAGAAGCACCCAACGCGTCCCCGCCGCAGCCCCCGCCCCACGGCCAAGGTCAGGACACCCGCCCGGGGTGCGGGGGGACAGCGGGTAACGGCCACCCCTCCTGGCACCCACCGGGCAGCAGAGGGTCCCCTCTCCTCACCTCCCCGGGGGTGCAGCGGGGCTACGTCCCCTCCCGATCCGCTCCCAGGGCGGGGGGGCTGCAGGTGCCAAGGGACCCCCCACACCCCACGGGGTGGCGAGGAAGGGGCTCCCCGGAGGGTTCCCCCTCCCCCGGCGGTGGCAGCATCCTCATCATCCTCATCCTCCTCCCCTCCGCGGCGCCCGGAGCGCGATCGTACCTGCGGTGGGGGCTCAGAGCCAGGCGGGGAGCGGGGCGGGGTGCGGGGCTCGGCGGAGCGGGGCCCCCCGGGGCCGGTGCCGGGGCCGGTGCGGGGCGGCCGAGCCGCTCCGCCA